CTACTACTACTACCACCACCGCTACTGCCACCACCATCACCACCACCACCACCACCCACCACCACCACCACCACCACTACTACTACTCCTGCTGCTGCTGCTGCTGCTGCTACTACTACTACTACTACTACTACTACTACAACTGCTACTACTTCTACCAGGCTACTCAGACTACTCCTGCTACTACTCGTATGTCAACTCCTGCTACTACTCCTACAGCAGAAAGCCTGCATCTTGAGAAACAAGTACCCCGCATTGCCAATACCCGATTTTGATTGCCAAGGCCCCTATGTCAGAGACGGTGCTGCACGTTCAATGTTTGCGGTTCTTGCACGAATCTGCTTCTTGAAGCTGAGCTGCGAGATCGCCAGTTTCGAGCTGCGTGAGGCTGATGATGGGATCCTTTGAAGCATGGTCGGGAGCGCGATTAGCTCGAAAGACCCCTAGCAACTACCTGCATGAAACCACTGCAGAAGTCCAGGAGGGATCTGGGTCTGGCCTGGGCCCCGTCCCGTGGAGTGAAGCAGCTTTGTTTCTCTTGGGGGGCTCTCTTTGCGAATCGTGAATCCTGCATCACAAGATTCCGGTCTGAAAGTGAGCACCCAGAAGCCCAACAGTGAGCATCAGGGACTATCGAAGATGCAAGCTTGTATTCCAAAACCGTAAGCTCGACGGCTTGGAGATTCCGTGTGGATATGGCTTCAGGGCTCAGGGTGTTTGGCTGAATCCAAATCCAAAGTTTCCAAACCCATGCACACCAACGGCAACAACCTCCTCACCATCATCACCATCCCCACGACTATCTCCACCGCATGACGACCAAAACCCAAGATCAGCCGCATGATCTTCATCATTTTCAGTTTCGTCATCATCTTACTCAACTTCGTCAGCTTCATCGTCTTCATCCCCTGCATACCCATCATCATGTTCTTGCGTCATCCGCCTCCTCATCATCACATGACAGTATTCCTTCTCCATCTTCAGCATCGTCATTAGCCACTGACTGAGGAGGGCGCATATAATGCACGTGATACATTGAGTGTACATGACAACATGCATGCATTTCTAACCATGCATGGCAAGATTCTGCTGCTTTCACCACAATAACAAACAACCGCACCCACTGCAACACCAACGGCTACGTATAGCAAGAAGAAGCACCACGACCACGACGACGATGAGCATGGTGATGATGATGATGATGATGATGATGACTACGAAAAATGGTCAAGATGATGGTGATCACAAAACTGATGATGACGACGAGAAAGAGCAAGAAAATGGTGATGATGGTGACGTTGATGATGATTAGGAAGACGATGACGATGATGTATGAGGGATTTAACGCACTTCGAATGCCAAATACCTCTAGCTTAATTTTCAACTGCTGCGGCGGCATCAGTTACTCCTCCTCCTCCGCCTTCTCCTTCTTCACCTCCTAACCTTTGCTCCCAAATTTGCTTACTGGTCCTTACTCCCGAAACCAAAAACCCTGCGAGAGGTCTGGCCTAACATCTGTCGGGGAGCGAACTCCGTCTTCCCAAGAGGATTAGAAGCAGTGTTCAACATCAAGTTTGGAGGGATGGGAGTCCAGACCTCGGATGCACCCAGCAGGATCAGGGTACGGAAGAGAGTTTGGGGTTCAAGCTTCGGGGTTCAGAGTTTGGAAGGGCCATACATCCAAAAAAAATCCTGCTGTGATGGCCTGGCTTTGAGTTGCTGAGGCGGTTCGGGGGCTTTACATAAGGCGGATCATGCCACGGCCATCTTTATGACCGGAACTGTGAAGGCATTAGCTCTGAGGCTTACAGTTGCTCGACACATTTGGGACTTGAAAGTGTCAGGACTCTGATATTGATCCTAGGCGGTAGGTAGAATCCCTACAACAAGGAACGCCAATCTTTGAAATCTCCCTTGTCGCTGTGCAACGCAGATTCAGACTTTTGAACAAATCGTTCAGTCGCCTAGGCCCTAAACCCTACAAACCCTACTGCTACCGTCCCTCCTATTCCCTGAACCCTTTTAGCTTGGTTTTTCGTGACTGGTGTCGGAGCCCAGTAAGTAAGGAAACCCTCGTTTGCAAAATGCAATGCATACCGGGATCCATCTTGCAAACCCTGTATTGGGAAGCTAGAAATCGGTATTCAAGCTCCTACACTAACTCCAACATCATTGATGAAAACTCCTCGACCCTGAACCTTATAATTGACATGGCCATGTCCCCGCAGCTACGCAAGAAATCCTGCCTGGCCCGTTACTCAACAATCAGGAAATGTACCCCAAACCCAACGACAGTGAGCTGCTGATACTTGATGAGCCTTAAACCTCTGGGATCGGTTAGGGGTTTTGACTGCATTAGACGGCGGAGGGCAACTGCAAGCAACACACCCCAAATACCCTAGACCCTGCACCCTAAACCCTTCAAGCCCAACCTCATACCAAAAGATCCCTTAGCTGGCTCCGGGCGGCTTTGCCGTTCATCTCCAGCCCAAGCTCCCTTCCGAAGCCCGTCGTGGACTCGAAGAAGGAATCCTTGGCGAAAGGGCTTAGAGTGGTTTCGTTTAGAATTTTAGCGTTTAGGGTTCCGACGGACCCTGTCGAAGGACTGGCCTCTGGGGAGAAGCTTCCTTAAGGGATTAGGGGCTTGGGGCCGAAATTTCAGCCTTAGAAGGCCCGTTCTGGCTGCATTAGGAAGATCTCGGCTGAAAGGTTTCGGCATTTGGGGGTTTGGGCTGCCCAGCAGGTCGAAACCCTGTTCCGTGGAGGTTTCGGGACTCAAGGCTCAGGGTGCCAGAGGGTGGTTCAGGTCGCCTGTCTGCAAGTTTGTAAAACACGAAACAACATGTTCAAACCTTGGAAAGGTTGATGGTTTTTGGAATCTAGGCGCATCGTGCGCTGCCAGCTGCAATGGCATGTGGCATGCTAAAGCAAAGCTTCGGCCCTGTCTAGCTGAAATACAGATCACACCCGGAAGACCCACAATGAATCCCCACAATGGCCCTACAAGCCTCTCTCACCGGAAGCACGGCTCTATGCAGCAACGGTTGCGCGACCCTACCATCCTGAGACGTTCTCGAAGCACAAAAGAAAGGAAGGGTGTCACTCATGCCAGAAACCCTTCAACCTAAGACGGCCGAACACAACATGTCGCCGCCAAGTGGCCGCCGTCTGTCCGAAGATGGTTGAGTTGAGCCGGCCGTCCATCCATCGCTTGGCCAACTCCCTGCACGGTTCTTTAGGGCTCACTAATGCAAATCCCTGATTCCCTCCACTTGAGAGGGATTATAGCAGGGATCCAAAAGTTCGGGCCATGCAAGAAAAAAATTAATCAGGGTCTACGTCAGGGTTAGTTGAGGATTGAGGGTTTTGGATTGGGGCTTCGTGCTAGCCTATTTGAACTCTAGCTTTTTCAACTATTGCTTGAGTTATGCAGGGCTGTTGTTGAAGCTCTTGTTAAATCACGCTTTTGCTCTGCGTGAACATCCGCTGAAATAGACATGCGAAGTCCTTTCAACTGCAGCGTGGTTCTGGGTTCGAAAAACGGTCTTCACAGGCTTTAGATGTAGGGTTCACAAGCCCGGCTTCCGCGTCCTTTCCTTTGAGAGCCCCGAACCCGGACTACCCTGAGCCCAAAACCCTGAACACCGGAACACCGAATCGCCGAAATGTTCGACGGGACAAATCTAAAAGTCTCAGCTTGAGGCAAATTTCGGGGGTGGGGCAATGCTTGTCAAACTTCCGGTTTGTCCTTGCTTGAGCTGCGGGGCCTGGCGGGCTGAGGTCAGCATCCGGCGGCTCGATTTGACGAAACGTGATCACTGTGTGCCGCTCTTGGCGGTTGGCACGAACGCTGAGTGAGAACTGGGATTCGTGTGATGTTCAGCTCAAGGAGATTCCACAGATAGGTCCTACAGGTTCTTAGTAAATTGAAGGGACTCCATGGCAGCAAGACACAGCACAGCAACAGCGAAAGTATGCTACACTGCTACACATAAGCAAGAGCAAAAAAATCATTCACAACAACCCCTATGCCCTAGACCTTCCATCCCGGACAACGCCGCAATCGCCACAAACTCAACGTCAAAACATGGTGGTCGGAACCCAAGGCGAAGCCCAAGATCCCAAAGTATAGAAGGTTCGGCAACTCGAATGTCCATGTTACTAGCAACGTCGTCGCACTCCGTGAGCCAGGCAAGCCCGGAGCACCCCCAAAAACTTAGCGTCTGAGGGTTTAGAAAGTTCAGGGGTCAAGGTGGCCCGGCCTGTCCGAAGCATTGCAGCCCCCTGCAAGGGCTCAGACTTGCAACGTTTCGTAAATGGAGCTTTCCGGCTGCAAGTCATCTTCCCAAAAGGCCGGAACATCAAACCTGGAACACTACCAATCTGCGCAGGATTGGGGCATAGGAGTTCTGGCAACAGGAATGCGAAAGAGCTGCGCTGCTCGTTGGCATCTCAGCCCTAGCTCACACAGCTTGAATTTGGGCCCCCAAGGGTTAAAGAAGGGTTGGGGATTTGTAGAGTTGGTCACCTCAACTGTTTCGAGCGTCAGCTCCAGCTAGGGGGACAAAATGCATGGACCAGCCTGCCGAAGCCGAGCAGAAGCCGTCTACCTTGCGCTCTTACGATTCTGGGTGGTTGCTGGGTGTTTGGATTCCATGTTTTGGGCATTTTCAGTGGGCTCCCGAGATTGGGGAGTGAAGGACAGGGTTTTTTGGGGGGTTTAGAGCGGGCAGGAATGACGGTCCAGGCTGTGTGCAACTGAAAAGAGCGCAAGACATGACAACACCTTGTAAAACCGTTGTGAAAACGTAGAACACCCTTATGAAACCCTTATGGAACACTCATAAACGCCCTTTTCAAGCACTGGCTCGAGGAAGCACAGCAGGAGTCCTAACCCGACAAGCGGCCTGTTTTTGCATCGCTTGCCGCCAACGAGTATCTCTCCTGAGCTCCGCAGAAAGAAAATGCTTTAGGGTTCAGCGCTTCGGGGCTTTGATTTTGGGGATTCGGGCACGAAGTAGTTGACAGCTTCGGTTTCAAACTGTGGGTTTGGTCAGAGAGACGCCAAGTTCTGCGAAGCTAGCCGACTAGCAGAGAGAGAAAAACAAGCCGCATCTTGATCAAAGATAAAACCTAAACCCCAGATCCTGAAAAGGAAAATGCCTAAGTCACAGAAAAAGGATTAGCCGAGCATGATCACTCTCCTGGCACTGAGGCCCAAAACGCTCAACCCTAAACCCCCAGACACCTCTTGTCACTTTTGGCTCAGCGTCCTCATTACAATGACCCTGTCAGAGGCTCATGATGCCGTTGTAAGATGAGGGTTTAGGGTTGAGTGCATGTGTGGGGATGAAGGAAGGTAGTTTAAGACGTGTGCGGCGATGTTCGGGTGCTTTGGGGTTGGATTTATCGGTCATAGTTAGGTTTCAATGCTCAGCTAGACGTGTCTTCGAACAAGGCGCCACCAGAGCCTCATGAAGGCGTAGACAGTGATTTTTTCTCCAGGCTCATCGAAACTGTGCACCTTTGAATCTTGAAGAGGGCTGTCAGGTTTGACATCATCCCCGACCCTCGGGTCCAGGGTTTCCCGTCGGGGTCGACCACGGCCAGGGCCAGGAAGGCTTCAAAATCCTTAAAACATGCACTCCTATCGGCGAAGGCTTTCCCGTCAACTTGCCTTTCCTGCGCCTCCTAAATGGCCCTCTAAGTTTGGTAGCCCTCTACACGATGCAATAACAGAATTCTGACTTGCAAGGATTCAGGGTGCCCATGATCGGGATCGCACTTCATCGAAAACAGAGGTACCAGCCCCGTCCTAATTATCAATCCCTGGAAAGGAACGTCGGTGGCGGGGTGCTATTGGGGCTCCGGGCTTGGGGCTTGGAGTCTTCCAGCTTACCAGTACCGCTGCTTCGGGCTTGGAGTTGTGGTGTTGTGGTGTTGGAGGTTCTGTTTTAGAGGGGTTTAGGGTTTAGGGTTTAGGGCTTAGGGTTTAGGAGGCAAGCCCTGAAGCCTTGGGGATTCTGCCAAGCAGCATCCGTAAGAATCATGGTGACATTCACCTGCTGTTCTGTTGAAGGGTCGGAACTCTTTGTATGGATTCTGCAATGCCGTATTGCCTTGTGGGACTCTGGGCTTCGTATGGCTCTCTGCTCGAAGCTTTGGGGAAGGCGAGTCTCGATAAACGCGGGTCCGGTTCCGTGGTCGTAAGGACACAGGCGAAGTTGTGGCCCTGGGAAGCCTTGGAACACTGAAGCCAGTGCTCCCGAGTCTTCAACCCAGAGTTGTTGTCTTTTCACAAACATCGGAAGCCTCTGAGAAAGAGCCCTGATAGTTTATCTCTGGAGTTCTGGTGGTTTGTATACTTTCGAAAAAAGGGCACCCGCAAACATACTAGCTATTGCCAATTATTGAAGCCCCTAGGCCTGAATTCGAGCCCACTGCTCGTCAAAGCCAAACCAAAACCAACCCTACCCCTAAGCCCTGTATCCACTGCAGCCCTGAAGTCGCAGGGCCCTGGCCCAAACCTTCACACCCTATGCCATTCAGCAGGCTGCCTCGGGAGTTGGGGTATGAAGCATAAACTGTCGGCACAAGCCGTGCTTGAAGGCGAGTTCATAAGCCAAACAGTTCAATCTTGGCCAATGATTGAAAACTGTAACACATCAAGTGTCACAAAATCAAAACGAACCTACAGATTCCAAGAAGGAGCTATGGATGTAGGGCACAAAAACCCTGACTGCAAAGCACGATAATACTACAAGCCCTCAACACCAAAAACTCAAAAACCCAAACCCAATGCCCTATAGCCTACAGGCCCAAAGGCCCTACTCTCGGACCAGCCGCACGATTACTCCGCGGCTCCCGCGCCGGCGGCCACTTCATCTCCAGCCGGGCACCCTCTGCTTCTCCGAGGCCATCCTCCAAAAAGAGGCGGCCGAGGGAGAGCTTCCGTTTCTCTTGCAGGGGGGGGGGGGGGGGGGGGNNGGGGGCGATAGTGCGTTTGGACAGAGGGTTCAATTCAAGGCTTTGAAAGGCTCTTGGGCTAAGTTCGGGATTCAAGTGGCTTCCGGTTTGGCAACCTATAGGGCTTTTAGGGTTCCGAGCGGATTCCACCTCTTCTCAAGGCGGCCTTAAAGGCCGTTTAAGTTTTATCCTCAGATTCCTGAAGCCCGTCCACGCTGATGACGAGATCCCAGGTTGAGGAATTGGGGTCTGTGCACCAATGAACACAGAGATCATCAAGGAACATCTTGAAACTCCCCACCCTGACACCCTAAAAACTGGATCTAAGCGCAAAATCCCCCTCAGTCCCTAGCTCAATCCAACAGACAAGAACTCTGATCGTTGTTGTCAAGGTTTCAGAAGGGTTTCGGGAAATATTTAAACGCTAAAGCCCAGAAGCCGTCTGCGCTGAAAGCCTCCACCCTGAACCCCATGCACTGCATCCTAAACTTGTCAGCCTTTGGCTTAAGTAAAGACTCTACAAGCTCTCATTGGCACGCAGGGGTCCCCACAGTCGCCTCCTGAAGCCATGGGGGAACCGCTGCTTGCGTCAGCAAGCAAGACAGGCTCAGCAGCACCCAGAGAGCCATAGGCCGGGAATGTCTTGAGGGTTGATGCTAGTTGCTGATAGTCTCTAGCCTGACGCTGATAGTCTCTAGCCTGACTGTCGCGGGGCCACAATGCTAGAGCTTGTGGGACCTTGGGGGTGTTGCTGTTCGAGTGCTGGGCTTTACATGTCGTGAAGGTGTCACTGAAACAACGTCTACACCCAACATTAAACATCTATCGCACAACCGAAACAAACCATACAGGGGTGAGCTCGAAGATGTGAAAGTTTGCAGCAACGCCAGCGGCAGAAGAGTGCACACGACTGCAAAACGGATGTCCTGAAAGAACTCCCAGCTCGCTTCACGAGCGGGTAGTCGAAAGGGGTCGAAACCCTCAAAGTCCGAGCCGAGATCCCTGTGCCCATGCAATACAGCCATACACACGCACGTTGGCATTATGAACAGAAAGCACGACATACACAGGTTTTACAAACAAGTCAGCATCTACAGCTGCAATGGCAAAGCCTCCATTGCTTGTATGGATAGCCAGGTGGACTGACAGATAGATGGACGGAGAAATAGCTAGCTGGTAGCTAGCTCGCTAAGTAGATAAGCTAGTTACAGTAGATACTGGTAGCTAGCTAACTAGCCAAACAGGAGGTAGGTAGCTACGCAGATAGGTAGATAGGTAGACGGTAGATAGGTAAACAAGTAGACAGGTAGATAGGTAGATAAGCAGATCAGCAAATAAGTAGATAGGTCAGATGGGTAAATATGCAGATAGACAGGTGGACAGGTGGATAGGTGGACCGATGGGTAGAGCATACAGGCGCACAGACCCCCCCCAAAAAAAAAAAACGGCTTAAGCCCTGCATGGCGGAGATCAAGGCTCTGCTGTGGAATCGCCACATTGCGGCAGAGATCCTGCTCCGAGTAAGGGGTTTCTCATCTTTCTCTCTGGCGTGCCAACTTCGATGCACGGATCACAGATTGGGCGATTTAGGGGCTGAGGTCCAGGTTGCGGGTTCTGGTTTACCAAGCCCGAAGCCCTAAACCCGACCCAAAAAAGAATACCCAAGGCTCCTCCATGGACACCTCGGGCACCTTCCGCACCAAATCAAACAGCGGTGCCGACCTTCTCGTAGGTCGGGAAAGCTTCCAAAGGGATGTGTCGGTTCCTTTGTAGTTTTAAAAAACCTTCACAAATCTCACTGCATAAATCTCAGGAGGGCGTTTCACAGAATGTGCTGGGATGTTTACAGTACCTCATAATGTGTTGTTCTGCAAGGCTTCATTGCTGTTTAAAAACAGTGTTACATAGGAGAATCTTATGAGGGCTTGTACCGGGTTCTATGGATAGTTTCTGAGATGGAACTTCTACATTGCAGCGGATTCTACAAGGGCTTGTAAAGGGTCTGTACGGTCGTGTTGTTAGGAGCGTAGGGTACAGCACTCTGCTTCATGACGTTATCTGATACAAGTAACATGCTTTTTCCCATGGCCTCTAGGGTTCTTATAAGGGAAAACCTGCAAGTACTTCATATCATTCTCTTCCTCGAAGCCCACTTGTGACCTTGGTTGGTGCCAGGGGTTCGGGAATAAAACTCGGACTTCGTCTAGGGCTCTACGATCTGGCTCTAAGGTCTAGGGTTTCCGGCTCCCTCCCTGGGTTTTCTGAAGGGTCATTGCGACTGTAATCTCTTGTGTCCCCCGAAGCTCGGGTTGAGGCTGTATTGCCAGCTATGCCACCTCTCAAGTCCCGCGCGCACCTCAGCCCCTCACCAGGGTCTGTCAGTTTGGGCTTGGTATCTGCAGCAAAAGTTCCCGCTGCAGAACACTATATAGTGTCACGGCATCGTATTGTAGCAATCGTGAACCCTTCTCAAACCTTTCTGGGAAGGGGCGGTGTGAGGTCGGCCGCCGTCTCGGACTCGGGGTCCTGGCGGAGTTTTTGAGAGTCCCCCGTGCCCCGCTTTTGAGACCTCCGGGAGATTTTCCGTGGTTCTATGGGTCTGTCACATGCGCCCTACATCTAAGCTGGAATCGCTGGGAATTCGCGTGCGGTGATCTGCGAAAGACGAGCCTCTATGACTCTATGCCATGAGCTTATGATGTTTCGGGCTTGGCTTGTCGCGTTTGGTGCTCTCACCCCTACACACCCCAAACCGTTCAGCAGTCAACCTTCAAAGCCGTGAGGACCTTAGACACGAACTCCGTCTTCGGCTCGTCTCCGAGCTGTCCTCCAGGTCTTTCGCTCCCTGCAAGATCAGGACCTGCGCATCGTCCTGCGCCTCGAGACTTGCACTGCAGGTTTACCGCTAAAGGTTCAGGGCATGGTTGAATCCACATCTCCGTGTGAAGACTTGACCGCCGCAAGACCACCCGCAGCAAGACTCTGAGGGTTTTGAAGCATTGTATACCTCTTTTAAGGGAGAGGCATCTCGCGCATGGGAGATTGAGAAATCCGGCGAGGTTGGTTGTTGTTCATTCGGTCGGTAGGGTTCGACCTGTGGCTACAACATCGGCCGGAATAAGGGCATCTGCGAGGGGGTGGAAGGCTCAGGCTCGTGGTTACACTACACAGGATTGCCGTAACACATGGAGCCTCCGGGCCGTTCTTGGCACAAAGGAGAGGAAAGGCTGGCTCTGACTTGGAGAGGAGGGAAAAAGTCTCGGACACCGAAGCACCGAACAGGAGCATGATCTGTACTCCGAGGGCAACTCCGACCTGGACCAGAGAAGCTCAAACCCTGGGTACCTCTGGCTCAGAAAGCCTTGCTTTCCCTAGAAATGCATACCTGTATATAGATCTGCATGTATGCACAGATAAGTGTCTATACATACAGGTATATAGATATAGGTGTATGTACATATACACGTCTATGCATGTCTGAGACGGGATGTATACATGTGCGTATAAATGTATATACACACACACGAATATGCCTATCTGCACACGCGCACACACACACAGATAGATGTAAGCATGTGCATATGCACTATAGGTATGTGCATATCTGTACTGTAGATATGCTTGTATGCTTGTATGTACGTATGTACGTATGCACGTATGTATGTATGTATGTATGTATGTATGTATGTACAGTATGTATGTATGTATGTATGTATGTATGTATGTACGTATGTACGCATGTATGTATGTACGCATGTATGTATGTA